AAATTTAGCATCTCCAAATGTTCCCTCTCAGAAGTTACATGCTTTATACATAGCACAGCATTCTAAATGGTGTTTCTCTCCACTAGTCCCATTTCTCATACTTCATTTATGCTTAAACATCTCTGGATATCTATTTAAAACCAGATACTAAATTCCTAAAGGACAAGAAGCATGTCTTATATTTGTCCTTCCCTTAAGAACAACCAAGCACAGTACTGGTCACAAAATAGGTACTAACCCATATACATGCTAAAAAAATACTCTAACTCATGTTGTAGTAACCACATAAGAGTTACTGCTTATGTCTGGTTGTATAACTGAAGCCTATCTTAAGCCCTTCAAAGAGACAACTAATAAATTAAAAGAAAAAATTACCTAAATATACTGTATGAGAAACATTTTTATGTGAATAAAGAATGATTAAGACTAGATTAATACTGGGGTGCCTGGGTGGCTCAGTGGGTTAAGCCTCTGCCTTCAACTCAGGTCATGATCCCAAGGTCCTGGGATCGAGCCCCGCATCAGGCTCTCTGCTTGGTAGGGAGCCTGCTTCCCCCTCTCTCTCTGCCTGCCTCTCTGCCTACTTGTGATCTCTGTCTGTTAAATAGATAAATAAAATCTTAAAAAAAAAAAAAAGATTAGATTAATACTTAAAAAACATATACTGCATTGTTTCTTTAAGAAAGTGTATGAGAGGGGCGCCTGGGTGGCTTAGATGGTTGAGTGTCTGCCTTCGGCTCAGGTCACAATCCCAGGGTCCTGGGATTGAGTCCCGCATCGGGCTCCCTGCTCAGCTGGGAGTCAGCTTCTCCCTCTCCCTCTGTGCTCTGTCTCTCTCAAATGAATAAATCTTAAAGAAAGAAAGAAAGAAGAAAAGAGTATGAGATAAGAAATCATAGTTCTGATACTGGGATGTTAAAAAGACTGTTCTCGGGGTCCCTGGGTGGCTCAGTGGGTTAAAAGCCTCTGCCTTTGGCTCGGGTCATGATCCCAGGGTCCTGGGATCGAATCCTGCATCGGGCTCTCTGCTCGGCGGAGAGCCTGCTTCTCCATCTCTCTCTGCCTGCCTCTCTGCCTACTTGTGATCTCTGTCCAATAAGTAAATAAAATCTTTAAAAAAAAAAAAAAAAAAAAAAAGACTGTTCTCAGGGAGGATTGGTGGCTCAGTCCTTAAGCATCTGCCCTTGCTCTGCTCATGATCCCAGAGTCCTGGGATGGAGACCTGGATCTGGCTCCCTGCTTGGAGGGAAGCCTGCTTCTTCCCCTCTCTCTACCCCTGCTGATGTTCCCCCTCTCTCACTCTGTCTCTCTGTAAAATAAATAAAAATCTTTAAAAAAAGACTTTTCTTGGAACGCCTGGTGGCTCAGTTGGTTAGGTGTCCAACTCTTGGTTTCATTCACCTCCAGTCAGGATCTCATGAGTTGTGGAATCAAGCCCAACGTCCCTGACCAGTCTAGTACTCAACAGGAAATGCACCTGAAAAAATCTTCTCCCTCTTCCCCTACCCCCACCCTTTAAAATAAATCTTTTAAGAAATATTATTTTCTTAAAATATTTCCCAAATGGAAGTACACCACTTCCATTTTGTTTGTTCATATACCCTGGACCAAAATGTTAGGTTTCTTATAGATATTAACCCTACAATTCATTCATTACAAATTTTATTTAAAAACTTTCGAGTTTTGTTTTTTAAATAACCTTTGGAGCAGAAGTTAACACTGATATTGTTAACTGTATGCTTTCTTTAAAGTATAAGCACTGACTAACCTCTAGGCTAATTTCAAGACAAATGTCTCAAAGTTAAAACCTTTATTATGAAAAAGAGATGGTAAAAAGACTAAGGATGAAATGTGTGTGTGTGTGTGTGTGCGCGCGCGCAGCGATCAAAAGGCAAGCTATGAAGATACACTGTTTAGGGTACTCCCCCAGAAATTTTTTTAAAAAATTGTTTCCAAAGTGCTGCCTTTTTAAATTACCATAATCTGTGAACTAAAAGATACTATGCCTAAGGGAAATTCCACAGTACAAGCACCTGCCAGCCAACCTGCCTAAAATTAATCAGCGGCAGGGATTAAAAGCATCCTTTAGATGTTTTTATGCAAAACAAAAGTAATATGACAGGTATATAATTTCAGTGTGGCACACAGAACATAACCAATCACCTAACATTGCTCTCAATGATTTCAAAAGCCAATACACGAAACTTTAATTTAGACATCTTATAAAATGCATAATGTTTTCCTTATCCAACACTCAGTAATCAAGGATACAGTTAAAATTTTAAGTTTTCCACTTTACAAAATGATCCAGCATAAAATTCCCTTAATCAGCATCTCTAGAATCATTCTGTTTATAAAGCACTTAACTTTTCTGCTTATATAAATTAAGTTTCCTCACATTTTTTTTCAAGAACTCACCTGGTATACAAAAGGAGATACACATGTATACTTCCTTGAGAATAAATAAATGCTTTCAATACTTGTGACCCCAGATGAACTTCACATATTTTAAATTCTTGCTTAGTTAAAAAAAAAAAAAAAGTTTTTTAAACACCTTCTAGAATACAAGTGCTTGCCTTTACATTCATAGCTCTCTTATGACAAAATAAAGATCAGTGTAACTCTAAGCTCTAAACTAATGAACTGCAGGGAACAGAAATAAGCAATCTGGCAAGAGCTAAGTAAAGCTGTTTAAAGACTACCAGTAAAATATACCAGCGTTTCCCCTCCCCCACCCCTTAGAGGTTTCGATTAAGATGGGGCCTAGTTTTACTCTTACAAGGGGGACAGAAAGAGAAAGCACAGAGCTCCTGCTGAAAACTGTCTTCATCAGGAGCAGCTCCAGAAATACTACCAGGAACCATTTCTTTCCCTCTCTGCTGACATAGGTTCCTCTCTTTAGAGACCGGCATCTCCCTTGCAGCTGATGAACACCTACCTTATCTAAAGGAAAGTCTTACCCACTCAAGGATGCTATCAAATGAATACAAACAAACAAACAAAAAACCCCAATGTTAGGGTCAGCTATAACACTCTTTATGAAAAGTGGAGCCCCCTCAGCAATTCATCTTCATCTTTCAATCGCTATCAGTCGCCTCGTGAATTGAATAAAAAGGGACAAAGTCATTTAATAAGGTATATCTACTATTTCAAAATAAACTAACGTTCCACCAATTGGTGATAAAGATTCCCTCAAAACACTTAGAGAAAATGAAGCCTTGGTAAGCCTTCCAGAAGTCCGTGGAATCAACAGGAAAGAAAAGCTGATTTCTACTTTGAGTAGTGCTCGCACCATTCCTAAATGCTGAGGAGCCAACAACTCAGTCCCACGTCTCCCAATATACTCAGTTTCTGCCCTAATATATGATCACCTCTTTGTGGAAACATATAGGTCAAGTCTTTCAGTCCACTGTGATTAGCAAATAAATACAGGCATGAGGCAAAAAGGAGAAAAAGAAAGAAAAAGAAAAAAGAAAAGCAGTGAAAAACTGATGCCTCTTTAAAAGGAGCCAAGAATGAAACAACCTATGTAAGGAATTAGAAGACATCAAAGGTTAGATAATGGACAACAGGTGCCCTTGGGAGGAAAGAGTAACACCCTGTTGTCTCCTATTTTAGGATTTCCACTCTCAAAGCACTCTAATGTGTGTTTTTCTTTTCTTCCCACAGAGGGTCAGAGCCAAAACTACAGTTTTTACTATTTAATACCTACAGTGGGTCCATTGCTCTTCAACTAACTTTTTGACTTCAGATTTTAAAAAATTCTAATATGGCTGAATAATGGGTGGCCTATGGCCAGATCATGCACTGATCCATGAACATTGATCAACCAGGGATTTATTACCAAGAAAGGTGTCTGAATACCAACTACCTCCAGGTAAACTACTGAAAATACAAATCCAGCAACAGGTTATCACACAACTGCAGAATCAGCCACAGCAGAAACTGTTTCTCTCACCATCATAACAGTTGAGCTCAATCTTTAGAGTAACCAGATTCCAACAGCCTCAAAGAATAGTAATTCCAGACACAGATTATAGGGCGCTGAGTACCAGCCTCTAGTTCTGATTCCCTTCGCCAGTTACAAAATACACTACCTTTATTCTGCTGAAAAGGAGCACTGAAAGGATCCTGAAGCCTACTTAATAACCTCTTCCATTCCACAAAGACAACATACTCCAAAAATGGAGAATCCTTTCTTTCCCTGACAGAGGCCCCCTTTCCAATGGATCCACTGGGCAGAATTACTTCTCCCCAGCATGCTCGAAGAGCCAGAGAATACTTCTGCTTTCGCTCTTCTTTTATAAAGAGGGTCCCCCAACACAGATACACCTCTTCTTTTCCTGTGTTAAGCAAATGATGCTTCGGTGCTTCTAGTTCTCTCCACCACCGCAAAATGTTCAGAGAAGTGGAAGGAGAGAAGGGAAGTTGTCAGACACGTTGAGATACACTTAAAAGAAGTCTCCAAATTTAAAGTGAAGACCGGGGGGGGGGTGCCCTCTTTCTCAAGAGGGTGTGGGGGTTCCTACCCTATAAAGGGACCCTCTGCGTGGGTAAGGGGTGCCTCCACTCTGAAAGAGAGCTCAGTATGTGCAAAGGGGGAGGAATGTTGTGCCCTGAAGGGGTCAAGGTTTCAGAAACGGGTGCCCCAACCGTGAAGGTAGGTCTGTGGGGGGAGCCGTGAGCGTATGGAAAGGGATGTACCAGCTAGTGGGGGGGGCCTCTCTGAGAGAGGGGGTTTCCACTTTGCGGGAAGGAGGGCCCTGCACTGAAGGGGACGCTGGGAGGAAGGGAGGGTCTTGCCGAGGAGGACTGGGCATGGGGGGAGGGGTTCTGAATCCACGGGAGCCAGGAGAGGGGCGGCAGCCTCGAGGGGAACATGTGCAGTGGAACTACTACCATCCCCAGGGGCAGGGTGGAGAGCAGGGCCTGGGCTGTATGTGGAGAGAACAAGGCTCCCACCCCGTGGAGAATACGGAGGGCTCCCCAGCCGTACTCACCGAGGCTGCCGGCGAAACCGTCCATCTTGCGGGGAAAGCGCCGGGCTCCGGGCTCAGCGGGGCGGGCACTTCATTCAGCGGACCGACAGAGTGGCCGACGCTGAGCCTGACCCGCTCGCTCTCGAAGTCGCCCGGCTCGGTTCCTACCTCCAGCCTCTGTGATCCGACCGTCCGTCTGACCCGGGGCAGTCAGTCGCAGCCGCCCGGGCCACTTCCCCGTCAGGTACAGAGCCGCGCCGCTCCGCCGCCTGCCCAGCCTCCCTCCCAGGCAGCAGCCGCGAACGCCGCGCCGCGCCCCGCCCCCGCGCCCGCGCGCAGCGGTAGCTCCGCCCCCGCGCACGCCGTCACGCTTCCGACTCCGCCTCCCACGTGACAACATGGAGGCGGGGGTTTGCCGGCCCTTCCCTCTCACCTTGCTTGGGCTTTGGGATCCGGCGGCCTCGAGCCGGACTAGTGGCTACGCTTGCGCAGTAGTTCGGCCGAGGACCTGGGGGTTTGGTTTTTGAAGCTGGTAAGGAACCGGTCGTGATAAGAGTTGGCGTCTGGCCTGAGATTCTTAGGAGCGTCGAGGGATTCTCTCTCATAGCCCCTAGGGAGCCTGCGGAATCCCATTGGAACCCAAGTCCAGAATCTACCCCGCCCCCCAACAGAAGATGGTCACCCCCTGTGTCCTACAAGGACACAGAGGAGGCAACCAAGTGAGAGGAGGACTCCCTTTTTCCCGGATCTCCCTCTACCCTCGTAGGGGATATATGGGGGTGAGTCTTCCTAACTAAAGGCCATCACTGCCATAGCCTCAGAACTCAAAACAGACTGGAAGCAAGGAATGTTAGTGCTGGGCAAGACCCAAGAGTTCATCTTGCCTCCTCTTCACGGAGAACACAACCTTAGAAAGGACCTGACCTGCCCAAGGTCATGGAGCCTGGTAGAAGCAGAGCTAGAACTCAGGCTTCTTTACTCCCTCTGGTGTTCTTTCCACCAGAGATGTAAAGCCATCTCTTACAGGGCATATAATTAGATTGCCTATTAGTGAACTATAACGAAGAGTTTTAATGGTAAGCCTGAGCTCTCAGCCCAACTCGATGTGACTACGTAGATGAGCGTCAAGTCACTAAACTTATTTAGGACTCAACTTTACCCATTTGCGGATGGAAGGACGGGACTTGTAACCAAAGCATTACATATAAACACTAACTTCATCATCCTCCTCTCTCCCCCAATTACCCCTATTCTCCCTCCTTCTAAAGGGCGTCCAGTGATTTCCAAAGTTCTTCTTGGGACTTGGTTGTGTGAATCAGAGTAATAAAGAGGAGAACTGTAAGGTGCTCGTGGACTAAATTGATGTATACAATAATTAAGAGCTGAGTTATGGAAGAATTAGAGTCATTCTAGACAAGTCGCGGGAGAAAGGAACAGACTGGAGAAGGAAGAAAAGAAATAGGAGGTTAGCAACTATCATAATGAGAGGGACTTAGAATTACATAGTTAAAAGGATTGTAAAACATTTCATTGCTGTCTTGCAGTAAACTTCTCCCCCCCCTCCCCCAGTGCCTCTTTAGAAATCTCCCGTAAAAATCTAAATTACTTTTCATATCTTTTTTGGATATCAGACCTGTGTGTCTTCTGAATAGCATACCATGTGGAGACAAGCTGTAAGGCAACAAAGATAAATTGAGGTTACAGACTAAATGGTGTCCAGAGTTTCCTCCTGTTTCAAACTTATTTACCCCAAGTTTCCCCTACTACGGGCATTTTTATATCTGTAAGTTTCTATTAAGTCTAACCACTTAATGTTTGAGAAGGCCTTAATTCTGACAGCTGCTCTTCTGTGTCTGCATACAGCACTCTCTGCCTTAGGTCAATTGAAAGAATAAGAACTTCCACTGATATACTACAATACATATATATATATGTATGTACGTACATGTATATACATTTTTTTAAATTCAGAGAAGGATCCACATTTTGAGGGGCCTGAAATTTTCTATTTGTGGAAATCTTCTAAAGATTAGGTTAAATGGAGTATTTATTTAGACACAGAAAAGAAATCACAACAGATTACACATTTTTTTTTGTTAAAGATTTTATTCATTTATTTGACAGAGAGAGATCACAAGTAGGCAGAGTGGCAAGCAGAGAGAGAGAGAAGGGGAAGCAGGCTCACCGCTGAGCAGAGAGCCCGATATGGGGCTCCATCCCAGGACCCTGGGATCATGAACTGAGCTGAAGGCAGAGGCTTTAACCCACTGAGCCACCCAGCTGCCCCCAGATTACACATTTTAAAGAAAACTGCAAATACTGCAAATGTTACAAAATCAAGAAATACAACGTTCAATTAATTGCCTAACATAACTTCAATATTTTTTTTTACTAAATTTCTTGGTTGCATACTCTTTGATTATTTCTTCATATGACAATGATTCTTTTTTTCTTAATAGATAATCTTTTACAGGGATCCTGCTATATGCCAGGTTTTAATATCCAGGTGTTTTATGCCTAACCCCATTCTAATGTTACATCAAGCCTATGAGGTCAGTGTTATGAATATGAGAGTGGTTTTAATTTTTATTATTTTTTAAAAATATTTGATTATTTGAGAGAGAGAGAGAAAGAGAGAGCGCACAAGCAGGGGGCTGAGGGAGAGGCAGGCTCCCCACTGAACAGGGAACCTGATGTAGGACTCGATCCCAGGACTCAGGGATCATGACCTGAGGCAAAGGCAGTTGCCCAGCCACCTGAGCCAACCAGGTGCCCCATGACAGTGGTTTTTAAATAACTTTTTAATAGAGAGGATAAAAAGATAACCTAGCTTTTCCTCTAGCATTTGATCAAATTTGTCTTTATTAGTGGAATATAGTTGGAATGCATAAAAAAACCACTTTGCACATAGTAGTACAGCTATTCGTAGTGCTGCTGCAGTAATTCTGATTAATTCTATTTCACATGATTCCCATTTAAAAAAAAGAAAAGAAAATGTATGGTGAATTTTAAATTATGCATACTGAATTACCGAGTATATTCCTGATAGAACTTCTATTTTGTTTTATATCATTGACAACCAAGTATGTATCATATGTATAATGATTAGAAGAATTTTTCCTAGTCTAGATTCTGGCTTTTTATGTTTCAAACTTTATTTCTCCCATAAGACCACACAATTTTTCAGTGCTACCCATATGTTCATAGTATATTATGAGCCCTAGTCCTACCACTTCCATGATAGGATTCTGGGTGAGTCAGTGCAGTGGCCCATAGGAATTTTCCTGGAATCTATTACTAGACAAAGACAGCCAGCAATAATTTCATTAAATGTGACTGTAACTCCTAAGTATCTCATTAAGCCTGAAATTAAATGTATCTCCAACTCAACTTCTGTTAGCTAGATACCTAAAATATCCAAAGCCACTCCAACACCACCTGACATGAGGTGAAATGTGACAAAGGAGAGATTATAGTGGAAAGATACAGTTTTCTAGTCTTAGAAGAGGCTCTAGAAGAGTCTTGGAAGAAACTCTAGGAAGTTTCATTAACTTCATGATTAATCTGCTTCTGTTTCAGTTACTTTTTTTAAAAAAGAGAGAGAGAAAGAGAGCATGCTCAAGTGGAGGGGAGAGGGACAGAGAGAGAATCTTAAACAGACTCCATGCCCAGCTTGGAGCCTGACACATGGCTCAATCCCACGACGACAAGATCTGACCCAAAATCAAGAGTTGAGTGCTTAACCCACTGAGCCTCCTAGGTATCCCTCACTTACTTTTTTTTTTTTCCTTAAGTAACCCCCATGTTCATCCTGAGTAGTGAGGACAATCAAAAATCACACACACACACACATATATGTATATATAAAATCATATATATATATATATTATATATATAAATTATATACATTTATATTCTTTGCCCTTTTCATATATGTGTATATGTATGTATATGTATATATATGAAAAGGGCAAAGACAGGAAAAATGAAATAAATGCTGGTGCAGAAAAAGGACAACTAGCAGGAGTAATATAGCAATTATTCTTCCACAGCAATTCTGGAATCCTGGGATAAGCACAATGTTTCTATAACCAGAATGCTGGGATAAGCATTATGAAAGGCAAGGAAAGTTCTTTGCTTGAATCTTAATCTTCCTTCCAAGGAATTTCCTCGTCCGTTGTGCTCCATGGCCCCTGGCTTTGCTAGTCTATGAGAGCTTGTTGAGAAATATACCTTCCTTATAGCCTGTTCAGCTCACTCCTTACTGGTACAAATATGAGATCAAAGATTATTTCCAACTCAAATAATCAAAGAATTTCTTTGAGAACATGATTCCCTCAAAAACTTGGTAGGTTTCTAATCCACTTGCTTCGAGTCAGCAATATGTGCCAATAATCACACCCATACTTCTTTCCTACACATAATTCTTATGCATGATTTTTGTCTTTGCTTTCCTTTTCCATTTCCTTTCTCTTCCTGAATTTAATAGGGGACTAATTCAAGCCATTAGATTTGGATGAGATGACCACACTCTTAGATCATTGTAGTCTGTCTGGATCTAAATGGATCTTCATTACTCAAAGGTATTTAATATTTTGTTTCCTATCTAGAAGTAGTCAGCTTTCTAATCTTTTAGCTTCCAAATTTCTAGACTTCTCTAATTCTCTTTTATTTCTGTTTCCAAAGCAGTCAATTCTTACTTGAGTTTTTCTCTTTCCTGCAATGCTTTACTAAGGTTAGCAAATAGTAGCCAACACATATTATTACTCTCTTTTCAAAAACTTCCTCTAGAGTGATAGGCTTATTAGGCACGTAGTGCACTACCTTCCAGGTTGCATAAGCAACAGTTGTAGCAAATCTTTTGCCATGCCATGGCAAGTCTCTGGAGTAATTCAACCTCCAATATTTGTTTTCACACCATCTCTAACCTACTATGAATTCAAGATTACATGTTTTAGTTCTTTTTTCCTTAGAGCAGCATTTGACTTAAAGGTTTCTTTTTCAGTGTTAGTCAAGATAAGCTAGATGCTATCACAAACAGTCCCCAAATTTTAATTAGCTTAATATAATAAAATGTTTTCACTTCTATCAGTAACCAGTGCAGATCATCAGGGGACTCTGCTCCATGAAGTCATTCAAGGATCCAAGCTTCTATCTTGAACTCCACTCTTTTCAGCTAGCAAATAGGAGTAGAAGTAGTGGGAGAACACAGAGGACCAATTAGGAAGCTGTTATGTTTCAGACATGGAAGTATGCTTCCATGTCTGAAACATGACACACTTCCATGTATACTTCCATGTCTGAATCA